TATAGATATCATATAGATATCATATAGATATCATATAGATATCGTATAGATATCATAAAAAAATATCATATAGATATCATATAGATATCATATAGCTATCATATAGATATCATTTAGATATCATATAGATATCATTTAGATATCATATAGATATCATTTAGATATCATATAGATATCATATAGATATCATATAGATATCATATAGATATCATATAGATATCGTCTAGATATCATATAGATATCGTCTAGATATCATATAGATATCATATAGATATCATATAGATATCATATAGATATCATATAGATATCATATAGATATCATATAGATATCATATCCCCATTCTATGCCACGGGGACCCCTTAAATGATCTCTTGTATATATCAGAAATGCCCAGCTGGTGGCCGAATAAAGACCCCCAGGTGTGCTGCGAAACGCCCAAGATCATCCCGGAAGGCGTGGGAACATGTTAGAATTTGGGTGGTACTGTTACTATTATTGTTTTCCTTAGTTATTATTAATGTTGTGTGAGAATTTTTGTAATACTACTATTATTCATTAGTTGTTATTGATGTTGGTAGTAATGTATTATTATTAATGTTATAATGTTGTTATTAGAGATGAAGAATCCTGAAAATGGTTTCGAATATATATATATGTTTCCCATATCTTTCGAATCTTGTTCTTCATGGTTTGCCGTTTTTCTTCAACACAAATCATGTTCGACATTTGTGTGACAGTTCTTGTGAAATTGAAAGAAAACATATTGAACTGGGTGCTATCCTCAGTCTTTGGCGCCTATGTGCTGAGCGGAAACTCTTCGCCACTCTTCGCATCACTTGACATCGGAGTACCAGCAGTCCTACTTGTGCAGAACCCATGACATTTTTTTTAGGCTTACCTAAAAACGCATTTATGACTAACATTGACTAACCACCTATCTTCCACATAATATACCAAGATAATCCAAGATATAATAGGGTCGCTCCAGCAAAATAACAATTTTTTTGGTCAAAAGAAGAGGCGATTCGGTTTTTTTGTGTAGCCACCGTGCAAAATGGGGAGCTTTTCACTCCCGTATAGCTCGCCCTCTGAAAATCACCTACAGCCAGATAAATCCCATATAAATGTGTTTTTATAAGATTTGATAGTCATTTCCCGTCCATCAATTTTGCCACCTGGCGCGCGCCGTTCACCATTCGCACATCTGGCGCCCAGGGCTGAGCATTTTGGAGCAACTCACCTTTTTAGGCTTTGATCTGCGACCGGCTGAGTCGGAGAACCCAACGGAACGCCGGGACGTCGCTGTCCTGTCGTTTGATCAACGCGAATCTCATGGCATTCCCCACGTTTCTGGTGGTCTTTCGATTTATGTTATCATAAAGCATGGGTTAAACCCACAGATCTTATATAAATAGATGGAAAATGATGGAAGTATTCCCATGATTTAATAAATTTAAACATTATGTGTCCTCTTTGCAATTTGTTTGATTTGGCCCACCTGTGGTTTGACAATCAGTCAATTTAGTCACTAGTCAAAAAAAAAAGTACAGTATCATATGAGACGCATCATGGCACATGATTGATTATAGAGACCTTCAAAAAAATTGATGTAAGCACTTTTTCAACAATGTAGATGGTAAAATCGAACCGGACTAGTGGCAGAGTGATAAATTCGAAGCGTTTCTGCATCTTGTTGGGCTACTATACTTCTGCCCCACAATGACAGGAATCCGGTTGATGGCGAGATGACCAGGGGCCCCACTACGGTTTATCGTAGATATATAATGATATATATATATACACACATACACACATATAATTATAATTATATATATATATATATATGATCTATTTGGGCACCACTTCACGTATCATCATATCATCTATGCCTGAACCCAAAATCTCCCCCCAAAAAACGGGCGACCGCCACCGGCTTTTGAGGTGGGCATCCCGAAGGAGTCTCACCTTGGAGGACCTGGGGATACCTGGGGATACCTGGGAAGCTGGGAAAGTGGCTGAGGATAGGGGAAAATGGCCATGGAAATAGTGATTTATAGTGGAAAATGGTGATTTATAGTGGATTTATAGTGGATTTATAGTGATTTATAGTGGATCCATCATATGATGAACTTGAAAATGGTGAGTTATAGTGGATGAATCCCCATTTTCATAGCATTTTTGTGGATCTTTCCACTTCGTTTTTTGTTAACGTTTACCAGGCCGGGTAAGCATATTTTATATGGATGATCACTGATGGATGATGGATGATTTATATGGAACTTAAGCATATATTTATACATATACCATATTTTTTTAAAAAATGGATACATGATCATTGATGGATGATGATAATGGATCCGTTTTTTTCTTGCGGGACATTCCGAACTATCATCTTCCAAGTTTTTTTTCAGTTCTATTGCCTCTTTCTTGGTCCATGGCACCATTTCTGGTAACCCCAAAAACGATAGAATAGTGGTAATGTGGTTAAAACAGTGTCATAAACCACCCGTTTGGGAATGGTAACCATACCACCTATAGAAATGGTGATGACTGGGGGATGGTTTATGACATTGTTTTAACAACATTACCCTCTGGTAAACTAACATAACTATGGAAAATCACCATTTTTAAAATGGGAAAATCCACTATAAATGGCCATTTTCAATAGCTACAGTATGTTAAATTACCATAGGGTAAATGTCACCTTTCCCCCAGTTTTTTGGGTATTTTTTGGTGCTTACCCTCTGGAGATCCAACAGGGCTGGCTGGCAAATCCGCCACAAAAAAACCAGCGAGTACGAGTGGCTCGAGCTTCACATGCTTTAACCGTAACCTGCACCTCGCCATAAGAAATCACTGGGCCAAAGATGTTAGTCACTTAGTCCATTCACCAATTTGGCTAATCAAGTTAGTAGTGACCATCAATGTTAGTTGACTAGTCCATTCACAGTGTCACTACCATGTTAGTTGATGGTCACTGTTGACACAAGTCACCAATTTGTTGCTCCGACTACCTGAGTTTCTGGGCCAAAAAAAACTCGCGACCCGAGGACGCAGTGAGTTTACTCAGTGGCCAGGCATCTTCGGATCTCGGTGCATTGGGCGGAACCCATTTTCCAATGGGTTCCCTGTTTTTAATGTACCATCTACCCTCTGGTAAATTAACAGTTCGACCCTGGCAGAAAACGGGGTTGGAAGATTAGTTTCCATTAAAACTAGGCTATTTTCAGGGTCTATGTTAATTTACCAGAGGGTAAATGGCATTTGTGCTGAGTATAGCTCATTTTTAGGCGAAACCATATGTAACATCTCATAATTACTGTACTCAGTTTCATTCAAGTCTGGTTACCAGATATTAAGGATCCAATATTCTGTGCATGACAACATGCAAAAAACGGAGTCTGAGTGGTATGGGAGTGGTATGGGAACTTCTATGCGATTGGCCTCATTGACGAATTTCGAATTTCTGCGAAAACTAAACACTTGGCTTTGTCACCAAGTGGGGTACCCCTAAAACTTCCATGCTTTCTGATCATTTCCGCCTTTTTTTTCTCATAGAATTGGATGATGGGAAAATTTACAGGAACCCCCCAAAAATTTGATGGTAAAAACCATGGTTTCCAGTTAAGATTTTCCCTCACACCAATCCTTTTCATTTTTTCACATCTGAAATGGTCGTTGTTGGAGACTTTTTCAGCCAATTCTCGTTCCTGAACGGCTCCTTTTTTCGCGAGGCTTCTGTGCAGTTGTGATCCAGGCTGGTTTCAGCTAGGACTCTAGGACTCTAGGGTGGTGAAACCGGCCGGTTTTACACGATGACATCACAGATTGACAAAAAATGCTGGTGTTGATGTATGGAATTCTTGAGAATCTTGGGAGTGTTGACTGAGTTGCTTCAAAAAAAACACAAAACCTTGTTTTGTTTTTTGGATAGGAGTTTTGGATAGGGCTTCATTTTTCGCGAGCAGAGGAAGTTTTTGGATGAAGTCTGAGTTGCTGGTGAACCACAGTGAGTTGTCATTGCGATGTCCACGAATCTCGTGGGTTTGCCTGTTTTCACACAGCCGCGCGATGCAGTTCCATCCAGAGTTTCAAGCTGAACTGGTGGAGCTGACTTAGTGCGAACTGAAAATCGGAAAATCTTTGCTGTGTCAAAGTTGGGGAGTTGATGAAATACACAGAAGATTTGATGATTTGAGGTGTTCCCATCTTTTTGCCATCCGTTCCTGCATCGATTTTCGAGTCCGTCAGTCCCCTTTTATTTATGGCATTATGGGGTTTCCATAAATGGGGATACCCAATAGCTGGATGCTAAAAGAAAATCCATCTATAAATGGATGATGACTGGGGGTCCCCCTAGTTTTGGAAACCTCCACTTCTGGAGACTAAGGCAGGATTCCTGTCCTTTGGTTCATGATTGATCGAAAAACCACCAACGTTGGGAATTTTTCCGTTCACCATCCCAGTCGGTGGAAATTTCGCAATGGACGACTCAAAGAATTCGAACCAGTTTCCTGGGTAAATCGAACAATAGGAAACTGCTCAAGCGCGTTTCACTGGCGTACATATATCGTACATTACAACTTATATATATATTCATATGTCTAAACGTCTGAGACCTGGAAGCCAAGTTACCAACCATTTTCTGGATGAAACAATATAACACTATCAGATAATATAAGTATGCTAGTCATCATCAAAGCAATAGTGACACTAATGGGTTGCAACGTATCTTGAAACCCAGCCAATGTGGTAAACGCAACAATCCACCCCTAATAGAGGTTTATGAAATTGGGTATCCCCCTATTTGGGACCCCCAAATGGTGGTTCTATGCTGGGATCATTTATCATTTACCCTCTGGTAATTTAACATAGCTATTGAAAATTGCCATAGAAATAGTGGATTTTCCCATGAAAAATGGTGATTTTCCATAGTTTTTTGTATGTTTACCAGAGGGTACCGAAATGACAAAAACATCACCAAAAAAATCACGAATTCGGCATCAACTCGATTTGCTCGCCATGTTCTCTCTGACGGTTCTACCGCGTGGCACGCTCTCCACAGCGTTGTGCCTGCTGTTGCTGCGACTGTCGCGGAGGAGGAGCCGTCTTCAGCGAGGCTTGTGGGCGCTGCTACCATTCCTGGCAGGTGCACACGAGCCGCGACGGTGGGGGATGGGACCAAGCGAAATGATCATACCCTCTGGCTATTTAACATACCCTCTGGTAATTTAACATTGGCCATAGAAATCGTTGATTTACCCATTAATAGCATGGTGATTTTCCATAGCAAACTGTTAAAAGGTCCATCTATAGAAGATTTATGATGACTCACCTATCAAAAATGGTGTTTTTCCATAGCTACGTTAAATCACCAAGCAGTATTTTGCTTGGTCGATTATAGCACTAATATGGGTAGAACAATGTCATTAACCACCCATTTGGGAATGGTTTGTACCACCTATTTAAGGCGATTTGGGCACTAGTACATATTGGACGTGACTATGGTAATAGCATCGATTTCATCTTTTTCTGATTGACCCTCATTCTGACTATGAGATGAAAGATGTCACCAATCATAAAGGGATTCACCAAAGGATGTTACTAAGTCTAGTAGCAATATCTTACAAGAGGTAAGATAAGCAATGGGGATGACAAGGATGGAAAGGGATTTTGCCATGGAAACGCTTTCGGAAAACCAACAACAGATACCCAGGACAAAATCCCTTGCCACGAAATATACACGAGATCCAGGCACTGGCAAAAGCTGAAAGCAGCTTGCCGTTTGCAAGGCCCGGTTTTATAAGGAAACATCCAACAAAAGGGACATATCCTTTTTTCCGCGCCATGTCCGCCTTGGTCATTCTTGATTCAAGTACTAGATCAACCTTCAAGTTCTCCTACATTGACTGCATCCTGTCTTGCTGCTCGCTTCGGATACACTTCATTGCTCCTGTTGCATTTCCGATTTTTTTTACATCGAGATCCTCTCCATTTCTTTCTTTTCCATCGATTCTGGATTTTGTCACATCGCTCCAATCTCAAGACTACGGGGGAAGTCTTGCAGATAATATACTACCTTTCATAATTTTATTTACTGCTGGAACGAAGCATTATTCTTTTTCTTTACTCTGTACTGATGGTGCCAGTACAAGATCAGCCATCTCATACTTGGACAACCTTTTGGCGGCTCACTTCGGAAACAATTTGCTGCTCCTGCCTGCGTTTCCGGCCGGTCTCGTTTCTTCAGCACTGCAGCGTGCCACGGGATGGTTTTGGGGTCCACCTACACACTTCCATCGAGTCCCGTGTTATAGCTAGTTAGCAGCTTATTCTGCAGCCTCTAGTATATAGACTTTCTTGGTCACTTCATTTTTCTCCTCTTTCCTTGTGTTTCTCCAACTGGCTGATGGAAAACTGGTTGAACTGCATGTTGCTGCTGAAAAAATGCGCGAGATCCCCATTAAACCCATTAAAACTCATTATATCCCATGCTATCCCATGCTATCCCTTCATTTTGGCTGGTTAGAATCCTGTTTGATATTCCATTTCGGCCAGTCATATCTCCAATTCCGTTCGTTGAACCCGACTGGCCCAGTCAGGTCGTTGTTTTTTGGCGTGGCGGAGATGGTATAGTGCCTATGGAAGACACCCAGGAACCGCCCAGCAGAGAGCGTTGTGCTTCAATCCCTCCGTGCAAGCAGCAGATTTTGAAGAACGCTTCATTGGCAAGGCCTCCAGTTGCTTGAGATGTTGGATGGTGGGGTGGGATGGTTGGGATGCTGATATCAATGTAATAAGGTACAGTCAATGCTAGAAAGCTACCGTTTTTGGATGGTTTATACCACCAATTTATGGTCATCTTAGGGATGATTTAGAATTTGCGACATATTGGGAGGTATTCAACCAGCAATGTATTTCGATGGGCCATGGGATTAGCTAAGTGATTAGGAAGTGGGTGATATTTTCCGTTATTGAACAGGTTATAAGCAAGTCAACGAATTCCAGAACCCAAATAAATACCCAAGATTTCCCTCATGTCTTTCATCCCTGAGTATGCCTATTCACAGATCACTTCTTGTCAAAGTTATCATTTACCCTCTGGTAAACTAACATAGCTATGGAAAATCATCATTTTTCATGGGAAAATCCACTATTTCTATGGCAATTTTCAATAGCTATGTTAGTTTACCAGAGGGTAGCCCGCATCATGACTTGTGTCATCCTTTCCAAATCGCTGATCGCCGCATCACCCTGAGATTTCTTGAAAGCAATCCAGGCTATTAGCTTCTCCATGGACATATCCCATTGACATCCAGACCTGAAAACTTGCTAATGACACTTCCATTCTTCATTGTTCCTACAAATATGTGTATGTATATAATATATACCCAACACACCTTCCCATCTAAATCCCCTTGTTGATTGAATCTTATCTATCTTATCTGCACTATGTTCCGGAAATATCCGCATGAGATACCGCCCGCACATAATCCTTTTTTTTTTGTCTTTTTTTTTGTTTCCTAATTTTCGATCCATCCCAGTTTGAAATACACATACGCAGATACATGATGTCCCCACCTTCATCCTATATGACAATTGGCTAGTTACATCCATCATATCACTGACAAGTATATTTGTATACACAGATACGTAGATGTATAGATATATGATATAAACATATGGGGATGGATCAATACCTATTAATACCATTTTTAGGGGATGAACATCCATTTACCAGCTATTTTGATGTTCACTAGGTACCAGGGTTTTGACCCATCCCCATATAGATGCAAAGATTAAATAGATATATATCTATATAGATACGATGTCATATATTTATATACATATAACATATGTCTAGATATGTATGTATATTCATACATCTCCCAGCGTGTTGTTGTTGTTGTTCTTGTTGTTGTTGTTGTTCTTGTTCTTCATATAATTTAATATATTCCAGTTCTACCCCCATAGATATACATATATAGTACATGTAACTAGATGTCTACATATATATATACATATATATATATATATTTGTGTATACACTCATACATCTCCCAACATGTTGTTGATATAATTTAAGATATTCCCGTTCTATCCCCATAGATATACACAAATAGGACATCTAATTATACATCTACATATTTCTAGTTCCATGATACACATACATAGTTCCATATTTATAGTTCCATCAAATTTTACATATACACTTTATATCCACGACGCTCCATGCAGCAGCTTGTTTTCCAATCTTGAGCCATAGGCCCACCAAGTTCTCTGTGACGTGCGTGTCATCCTTATGCAGGGGCCCTGAGGCCTAATCAGCTGTTTCCAAGACTGACCCTTTACAGTCTGACAGCTTCAACCTACATCTTCAAAGTGCGTGTCATCCTTATGCAGGGGCCCTGAGGCCTAATCAGCTGTTTCCAAGACTGACCCTTGACAATCTGACAGCTTCAAAGTTTCAAAAATCAGGGGCTGGTGCAGTTATGTTACCGCACTCCCCCTTTTCCTCGTGGAAAACAAAAACCCCGGCTCTCAGTCTTCCTCCTCATCCTCAGTCACAAGCTCCCAATCATGGTCTTCCCCAGGTCGAAAACTCCTTGGCATCACGGCTTGTCCTCGAGCCTGGATCGATTGAGGTCTTCCGTAACGGCTGCTTGTCTCACTTCTGCGGCTCACCACTGGTTGGTCTTCGGCGGCGAAGCTTCGAGCAGGGCCGTGCACCATTGAGGACTCGGTGGTTGGAGTCGGTGAAGTCATACCGACATAGGGGCCCATACCCAACGCTTCACCCACATCGGCATAGTTGTGTAAGCGGGGCCCACTCTCAGACCCGGCGGACCGGTTGACTTGGATGTGGACTCGCCTGCCCACCATGACTTCCAAATCGGAGTGGCCGCCTTCATCTCCTTGGTAGTTCCCCAGGTAGCCCGCTCGAGGGCCCAGCCTCGACCCCGAAGCGGTAGGTGCCGTTGTTGGTGCTCTCCTCATTCGGAACAGCGTATAGCCGGTCCATTTCTCTTCACGGTTCTTCAGGACCGGATCCATCCAGGAATCTTCTAAGACACTCCGGTTCCCTGTAGGTCCAAAACGAACCTGCACCCTCAATAGTTCCAGGTCGGCAGCAGCACCACAGGGCAAAGTACCCTTCAAGGGGTGGAAAGGCTGCCAGCGTGGCTTGACATGGCATTTCAAGATCCACATCACGCCGCCTTCCTCCATCACCCTCCAGTGATCCTTGGGGCCAGTAGGCGGAGCAATCAAACGGCCACCTTCCCAAGGCCTCGCAGCAGCAGCCGCCGCAGTAGACGCCATGGCCTTCAGCACAGGTCGCGGCCGGTTGGATGGGCAGCCCTGCGGGCAGTGGTTCACTTGAGGTGAGGTTGGCCACACAGCTGGTCTTTTTCTACCTTCAAGTTCAAGCGCCTTTCCACCACGTTCAACTGCACCTACCATCGGCCCATCAAACAACCCAAAAGGGGGCCCTTCGTGGTTTTTTGGCTCACTCCCAAAACAGTTGGGGGATTCCCCAAAAGGTTGTGGATTTTCTGAAATTGGTCCCAGTTCATGTTCCTTGGGCCAATTTGAACCACCGGGTTCACCTTTCACCCTCGGAGGTTCCTCCTTCCTTTTTTGAGCTGGTTCGTTCTCCCTAGCTTCTTGAGTTTTCTTTTTCAGGCCATTGGCTCTTTTTATTTCTTCCTCCCCCCTCTTCTCAACCTTTGCAGGATCAGCAAGGGCAACTACAGTCCCAGCTGCCTCGGCACGTCCAGCAGCTATCCAACGCCAAGCCGAAGTCAGCGCCGTCAGCATCACCGAGCAAGCCGCCCGCAGCCGCCCGCCAGTTTCAGCTGCCGCCCGCGCCAGCGCCTTCATGAGGTCCACAACTTGGTTGAAGGAGTTGAAGTGGTCGTCCACAGGTACCTCAGTCGCCATCCGCACCTTAGTCACCTTAGGAGCCAGGAGGTCAGACGAGCCAACATGAAAATTCAAGAAGACCCAAAACCGAACCCATTCAGTTTTTGACACTATTGGTTTGGTCAACAGATCCGCCACTAGTTCAGTACCCTTCAGGTGTCTCAAAGTCAGGTTTTCAGCGGGATCCTTCAAAGCTTCCCTAAGCCCTGAGGCTCTCAGTCTCAAGTGACGTGTGCGCCATCCTCCATCACTGTTACTAGCGATACTAATGGCACTACAATTATCACCATAAATGACTTTTTCAACTGGCCGAGGTGGTCCATGGGGGGCATTCAAGACTTCCAACAAGGCCTCAACCGACGACAGCATAAGCTTAGATTCGCAGTACCCTACCAACTCCGACTCAGCAGTACTCAGAGTGTGGAACGGTTGCCTAGCTGCTTCCCACTGCACTGGAGAGCCCCCGAGGCACACCACAACACCCTGACAGCTGTTGTCCCCCTGAGGGGCGAAACTCACATCAGAAAACGCTTCCAACAGGTTGTCATGCCTAGGTACTTGGAGTGTTTGAAAAGGTCCATGATCATGTTTTGCAGCTTCATACATCAAACAGTGTTCAACTGTGGTAGCCAAAAAACCCAACACATGCTTTCCCAACATCACAGTCAGCCTCGGTCGCTTGGTGGATTGCCTTCCCATAACCGACACCGCATAGGAAAGATCGGGCCTACTACGAATTGCCAGCCAAAGTAGTTCACCAGTCAACCCTTGAGCAGCCTTGACCTCTTGAGCCGTGGCATCATCTTCTATTTCTTCGGGGATATCAACCTTCGGCATGGGACTACTTCGGGGGATAACATCCTGGTGTCGTTTCAGCAACTCCCTCGTATAGGACTCCTGACCTATCATCAGCTGAGTATCATTTTTCCACTTCAGTTCAAAGCCACAAAAACGAGCCCACTGGTCCTGACCTACGGTTTCAACATCTGAACATTTCCACTCCTGTTTGACCCTTTGGAAAAACCCTTCACGGATTTCGGGGGTAGACAACGCCATAATATCATCCACATAAACTATGACATGTCCAACACAACCAGGTGACCCTTCATCCTTTTTTCCCTTCATGATTTTCCAGAGGTTACCCTCGGCAGTGGACTGCAAAAAGAACGGTTGGTCACCATCCATCCAGGTCATTTTTTCCAAGGTGCTGTCACGGTAGATAGCCCAATGCGCCGGCGACGAGGTGAAGCCATATAGAGCACGGTGCACACGCCATCTTTCCCGTGGCTTGCACACCCCCGCTTCAACCATCACTTTTGGTGGGGTCACTATCACTTCTCGTTGGCTTTCCGTGGGCTGAGGCCGAGGCGCCAAGAGAAAGGCGGTACGTACATCCAGGATACCCATACCCCAACCCTTGGTCACTGAGTGTTGTATGGTGGTTCGAATGAGTGTACCATCAGCTCCAGAAGCATAGCTATTTGGAATGGGATCACTAGCACCATTTAGCAAGTTACCACAAACCACAGCCCTACACTTCCTCCTACCACCTTTGGGGCCAGCCTTCCTAACTGCCACAAGCTTTCCGGGGACAAGTTCAGATCCTTCGGGGAGATCATCAACATCGATTGGCTCTATGGCCTTTGTTTCATGAATGAGACTATCATACTCCTTCTTCATGGCATCAACCCATAGTGGTAACTCCTTCCGAACATCCACCAAAGAAACCGTGGTAGTTTGCAGTACTTCATCATCACCATCTTTCGGGGCCGCTTCATCAACTTGTAACCCGCACAACCGAACTTCTCGGAGTTTT